CAGTATATATATATATACAATCAATCCATGAAGTTATAATTCTCATTTTCCTACCATCCTACTAAATCTATTTTTCATTCCATGTTGCCATGATTTTAACAAAGCATCCAATTGTCCAAAAATCCTAATAATTTATTATTTGTTCTCAGTGAATAATTTTTTCTTATATACCATTACATATTTTTTATAGCCTACATATGAAAAGTGTAACTTTATGCAAACAATAAAGTAAGATAAAAGTTTTTGAATATGTGTTCATCTTTATGTAAACCCATACATTAACTCATGAAAGAGATATGAACGAACTGTAAAACTGTAGTGCATTTTTTTTCTTCATTGCTACATATTTTATACATATGAATATATAGCCATACATGGTCCGTGCATATATTGCAGTATATTGGAAAATACAAGCACTGGCTTCCTATATATGAAAATGTATTATTTGATATTTTGCATTATATTTCCATATATTTTTGTGTCATAAGAGAGTCCAATAAAATGACATTTAATCATATGCTAAACCTGTGAGAATATGGCCATGTTGACCTTGAATTGCTTAGACACACATGCCATTTTATATTCCTATGAACGCAATATAATATTCACTCAGGAGCAAAAGTACATCTTTAATGAGTGCGTGACCTACTTGAGCTGAACGTTTACAGCAGCTGTCAGAGCAAAATCAGCTTTAAAGCATCTTATTGTGGACGACATGTCAGCCGGTGTTTTATTCATGTGAAGTCAGAATGTCTCATTCAGGTCTTCGTCCTTCACTCATGTCCTCTCTGCCAAACCCTCACACTCACTTAATATTGAATATCATCAGACACAGTGCACAATGTCAGGCCATATGAATTATTAACTGAGACAGAAGCTGACCAGAGGTTCGTTCAGGACAGAGATTCACCTGAAGAAGAGCAGATCTGATGCGTTCTGTGGATTTAATATGCTGAAACTCTTCTTACTAAAGTACTAAATAACAGCCATATTAATGCCATAAAGATCTGACAAAACAAACTGAATATATATATAAGAAATATCACACTCGTAGCAGTGAATAATATATTGCTGTATGTGTGAATAATATGTAATCATGTAATCAATAAAAAGTAACTATACTTTTTTTTAAATTACAAGTATTTAATTTTTGGAATCTGATTACGTAATCCAGATTACATGTAATCAGTTACCACCCAGCTCTGATAATAGACAAAGTTATTTTAAATTATGTAATAATATTACTGTTTTTACTGTTTTTATTGGATTTCTAATCCAATAAATGCAAACTTGGTGAGAAAAACAAAACAAGAGAGACAACTTCTGTCTTAATGAATATATGTCATTAAGCAGTCTTAAATCGCTGGGGTATATTTGTAGCAATAGCCAACAATACATTGTATGGGTCAAAATTATCCATTCTTCTTTTACGCCAAAAATCATTAGGATATTAAGATCATGTGTGTTTGAGAGTGTGATGTTCAGAGCTCTTTATACTGTTGCACTGTTGTTTATGAGTCCTAAAATTCAAGACGCTGTGAATAATGACAGCATTAAACGGCATGAGGGCTTGATGGTCTGATCACTGAAGTGCTGATCCATCCGGTCTGATCACATGTCACTAACTCAGCAGAATCACTTCAGCTTCTGCACACTTCTCATGCTTTACGTTCTCAAATTAAAACTATCAAAATGCTCATGTCATACTGCTTTTGTGTTGTTGTTACGCATCCAATATATATTTTTGGCCAAAATATATTTTAAAAACATGCAAAATATAAGTTGTAAACAATGAAATACATTTTTGAAATTTAAAATATATTTAGTTTCAACCAAAGAAAATACATTTCCAATCTTACAGTAGCATACATTTAGACAAAATGCAAATGTGGATGTCAAGTCAAGTCAGCTTTATTTCTAGCGCTTTATACAATACTGGTTGTGTCAAAGCAGCTTTACAGTATTAAACAGGAAAATAGTGTGTCAATAATGCAAGAGGACAATAACAAAGACTAATTTTTCCAGTTAAAGTCAGTTCATTGATGACTATCTCTTCCAATAGTGTCTGTGCAATCAGTTAAGCGTCCTCAACTAAGCAAGCCAAAGGCGGCAGCGGCAAGGAACCAAAACTCCATCGGTGACAGAAATGGAGAAAAAACCTTGGGAGAAACCAGGCACAGTCGGGGGGCCAGTTCTCCTCTGACCAGACCAAACCATCATGATGTGGTTTAATTCCAGGCTGCAGCAAAGTCAGATTGAGCAGAGGACTCGTCCGGTTAGTGAAATGTGTTAGTGTGTTATGTGTAAACCAGGTTAAAGAGATGGGTCTTTAATCTAGATTTAAAGAGTGTGTCTGAACTCCGAACGTTATCAGGAAGGCTATTCCAGAGTTTGGGAGCCAAATGCAAAAAAGCTCTACCTCCTTTAGTGGACTTTGCTATCCTAGGTACTACCAAAAGTCCAGAGT